CTCCTAGGCCACAAGTATGAAGCATGCAACCAGCAGCTGACAGCCGCAAAACCTTCTAACAATAGAAAAACCAATGCCATCCAATCACCAAACACCTACTTCGCCGCTTTGCGGTTTTGTTAACATTTATACATACGTACGCACACATTTAAAAATATATACATATGTATATATGGAATAAAAAATAATATTAATATATGTATATATATTAAGGTGTCCGTCATTTCAAAATTTGATTTGTTTCACTGAAATTTTCAATTCTTTTGTAAAAATGTCCGTCAAAAATCCAATTTTCAGTTTTTTTTCCTTCGTCCAAGTTCTAACTTAAGGTTTTACTAAAACACGTATTTTCTATTTTAGATGATTCTCTTAGAAGTTATCCTGCCAACGCGAGCGCATCTTTTTTCCGAGAGAGCACCGGAAATGGCGTCGTAATGGCCGAGCTTCAAATATATTTTTTTTTCATAAAATGTCAGGAATGCTAGATTTCTTTGTTAATAGTATATGTTTGTAACAACAAAAAATTCGAATAAAAAAAAAAATTTGTTTTTTTATGAGAAAAAATTGTTGAAAAAAATTCAAAAAAAAAAAAAGGAAAGTAAACTTGAAGAATAATTAACACCCTAATACACATGCATCTGCTTATGCAAATTATTAAATATACTAACTAATCTGCAGTTTATATATTTCTACTATGCTTTAGTACATTTTTTATGCTTTTTGAACTTTCTTCTCCACTTTCTTCGCAATATTATATAATGCGTCTGCTTGCCACGGTAGAAGCACTGCGCGAAGTTCGTTTTAAACTACATACCACTTCTCCAAAACTACCGTTATGAGCAACAACGCTGCAAGTTTACTTTTTTTTTATAAAATAATCCTATATAGATATATATAGTGCTTTATTACTTGTTGTCTACTTATTTTGTTCGTCAAAGTTTATTTATTATTTTTTTTTTGCTTTCTCCTTTACTTAGAGTACTTTTTTAATGTTTGTATATTTTAAACCCCTCTTTTGTGTCTATTTCCAAATTTGAATGTCAAATTTTGCAATTTTTATAGAAGATAAGTGGCGCTTCCGATGGAGGTTGCATAGCTTAAATGATCGATAGGTAAAGTGGAAAACGTATTAAAATAATAATAAAAAATGGAAAATTGATTTATTGGGAAAACACTTAAAGGGCAAGTGATTGATTGGTCTATGAAATGTATGCACAAATATAAATTTTTTTAAATTGTTAAAGCAGTTATTTTTATAAAGTTAATTAGTTGAAAAAAAACTCTTTTTTGAGTAATTATGATAAATAAAAGTGGCGTTTTTATACTCTTGCAACATGTTGCCCTAGAGTATAATGGTTTCGTTCACCTAACGGTTGTGTGTTTCAACAAAAATTTATCGAGTTAGGTATAGAGTTGTGCATATGTAATTGATCAGATTGATGAGACGAGTTAAAATCCCAGTGATTATCTGTCGGTCCGTCTGTTCGCCTTTTAAAGCTGTAACTTAAGTAAAAATTGAGATTTCTTAATGAAACTTGGTGCAAATGTTTCTCGTCATCGTAGGACGTTTGGTAAACGGACCACTGCGGCGCCCACAAAACGCCATTAATCGAAAATTGCCATAACCAAGCGGTAAACTAAGATGTGAAGTAGGTGAAATCGGATTATAACAACTTCCACTCTCCATATATCGATTTTGTTAAGAACTACTAGAAAAACGATAAATCAATAAGTAAATACGCCAGAGACATTAAATTATACAACAAAGCAGCACAAGTGGGCTTTATAGAAAGCGATATCAAAATTGGACGTAGGACGGTGTACTGCGGTGAAATAATATATCTCCGGACCTACTCAGTCAATTTCAAAGATTATGATTATTATACGATTATTGTAACATTATCGAGCTACAGAGCGAAATTGCGCGAAATCGGAGGAGCACCACGCCTGATTCGCATATAATATAAGTTCAAATTACATTTTTCCCAGCAATAAATAACGTATCGGAACTTTAGTCTCTTACGAATAGTGCCTTTGCAGGATGCCATCTCAACTATAAAATTTGTCAAAACCGAACTGTAACTATTCACACCCCTTTATAATGGAAATGTGGACTCTAGAGCGTATGGCAAACTTTTTACTGAAAATATCGGTCAATGTATGAGACATATTATAAAATCAGGAGAGAATATTGTCTGGTAACAATATGTCTGTCTGTCTGCGAAAAATTTGTTCAATCGGATCAATATTTCCCTTAACCCCCACGTATCTAATACAAAGATATTCGAACTTCTGGCTGATATTATAATTTATATATCACGCAATATGTAATTTTTCTTTATAAAATTATGGATAAATGGTCATCATCGCACAATAACATACACAACACACTAGCACACAACATCGACTCAGACTCACAATATTGATGCACAATCTTCACCACACTCCCCATATCACCATTACAATCCACATTATACACTACTCATGAAAGTACCACACATACGTACACTAAACACAATCACACCACACACATCATACCTTCTGATTCCTCACAAAAAACTGAAAGTAAGGACTGACGAGGGGATCCCCCACACTTCTTTGTATTTCTCTCTTAACGAGGCATCTCTATGCCTAAAAATAATGCACAAGAATATAGAGTTTATGAAGAAATTAAATATTATATAATCCTACTTCAAAATTGGTATAGTTGGAATGATGCTATAGACGCTGTATCAATAGGTTGAACAATAATGTCAAATTTTAGCGAAAAAATTGTTTTCTGGCAATTTCGCTTCGAGTTCCGTCTATTAAATTTCCTGTATATCAAGCAAGTTGTCAAATAGCAGTTCAGACTACTGTGTGTTGATGGCAATTTCCTTTACAATTAATGATACACTCACGTCATATCCTGATTGTCTCTACAGGAGATGGAGCAAGGTTCACTTAGTACCAGAATGTTGAATGATGTATCTGTGTGTGTGAATATATATTATATGTATATCCATATATCTTCAAATCGCTTAGTGAAGATTAATGATCTCATCTTCGTCACGGCATTTGCATTAACATATCAACTCTGCGTCATCTCAAGCCAGTACAGTGCGGGAAATTACCGCCAAACATGAGTACAAGCAGATATAATATAAATATATACCTGTTATACAATATATATATACATAAATATACAAAGTATATATATATGAATCGAAAGCAGCTGAACCGCGCTACCTTGGCATACCGCTAGCAGCCGTTATGCGTCTAGAAATTAAACTCACCGCTAACTTTAGGACTCAACTGACAAACGCTTGCGAAACATGCTTTATGTAGTGTTTAGCAGCGCCAAGAATCATCGCTCACTGCTAACCCAATTTAGCGGCAACAGCGACAACGTTGTGAGGCTAGGCTTCGTAAGAAAAGGAGTGCGCAACACCATTTATCTGGCTTAATTTGGACGGCAAGTGTGCTCACTGGAGAGAAGAGAAGGAGTGTCAGACTCGCGTTTGATTGCAAAACAAGTTGCGTTCGCATGAACTATTTTTGGGTGGCATGCGTGCGTTAGCGCAAAATGTCAAATATGACAGCTTCACTGACAGGCGCCAAACAGTCAAGAATGCAAGAATGCAGCACAATACAGTAAAAATGAGAGCGAAGAGAACAGTGTGAGCGCATTAAATACTCAGGCAAGGAAAGCTGCTAGAACAAACATAAAAAAAAATTATAATAATAAAAAAAAAAAATACCGAACTTAATTATTTTCTAAAGCTGAGAAGGCAACTGAGTCACCATGAAAAGATGGACTCCACAATCTGCACCAATTACCATGGGATAAGCCTCTTTAATATCAAATATAAGAGCTTATTGACTGACAGACTGCAGCCCACCGCCAACAAACTGATTGAACCTTATCGACCGGATTTTCACCATACGAGAAATCTCAAAAAAGAGCCACACCACACACCACCTCTTCGGGAAGAACCTCACTGAGCCGTTTGTTACTAAGCGAGGTTGTTAACTCCAACGGAAGATGAGCGAAACTAATATCGGAAGAGTGGACCTTTGCAGCGAGGGAAGGAGAAAGGTTATCTCGCTCACTAGAAATGAAATAGAGCGAGCAAAGTATTATCTGAACATGGTGAATAAAATCCGAAGATTACATTTGTCTTAAGTAAGAGGTCGATCCCAGCAAAAAAAGCACTTGGACTCCTACATATTAGATCAAAAGATAATTACAAATCGACAAAGCGTTTACAGTTGATCTGAAATTTGTCGAGACGACTAAAGGCGTCTCGTATATCGTTATGTATCCTGGTTCTCCGAAGTTACGAGTACCGTGATATTTCAGCCTCAGTTTTGCAAAGGCTGTACAATCTCGGAGAAAGCGCCTTGTTCTTAGTTAGTACTTATAGTTTTAATTGTTTGTGACAGTTTTTAAGACTCGTTTTTGAAAATTCAAACTGCACTGAACTCAAATACATAAGTATATATCACTATATATATGTATATAATATATGAAATTATACATATACTTTTATATAATGTATCATGTATACACTAGACGTGCCTTGTCGGTACTACAAAGTCGGTAGTCAATGTGATAAAAAACAAAATTACTTTGTTTTATTAAAATGCGATCAGCTCATTGCACACGTGAACCAAAAATTTCAAGTATTTTCATATTAATTTGATATTTTTTTATAATTCGATAGTCATGCCCTGCTTTGTGCTCTGTTTTAAGTTGTTTAACATAATATTTAAATTTTTTGTCTCGCTTCAACGAATCATGAATGAGACTTGCTGATGATATTTTGCAATTTCTATACTGATGACAGATAACTGTAAAAGCTGTAAGGTAATTTTTTGTAAAGCAATTATAATTAAAACACGAATTCAAACGCAATATGCATGTTTTCTGCATTATCAGTGATTTGGTCGCTAACAGCAAGCCTATAAATACCATGTGAGCAATGAGCATATTCACAATTTTACGGAAAGCAATAAAACACCACGAGTACAAATGAAGTTCTCGCTCAGCATGAAGTTCTCCGAGAGCATTTTGATTATAATTTTTGTGCTGCACGGTTTTTCGAAGGTATAAAGCGTACAAATGTATGTTTTCTAATTCACTTTGTTTTTACATATTTCGTATTATTTCAGGCCGAACAACCATACACGGTTAAGAATGAGCGTTTAGAGCCTTTCCAGGGCTTAAAAGAGACAGCCTTTGATTTGAGCGATTTGAAAATTGTTGGACGTCAGCGTTACATCAACGGTAGTGTGACACTCGCCGAAGACATGTCTAGTGAGCATTATAAATTTCAGGTAGAAATTTTCTCCTCACCACAAGGCGATGGTCAATACAAACAACTGCCAATGGGCGTGCCACGTACTCCCGTTTGTGAGGGTGTCAAAGAATTATATACGAAATTGTTGGAACCGTCTTTGGTTGAGGGTAAAAACACTGACTTTCCGCATGTGCCCGAAGACGGTTTGTGTCCGCTACCGAAGGGTCAATATTTTGTAAAGAATTTGGATATGAAAACAGACACTTGGCCAAATCAAATACCACGTGGACTGTTGAAAGCGAAATTGACATTTTTCAAGGATGAAATTAATGTTGGAGGCAGTAATGTGATAATAAGAGTCGAAGATCGGGAGTGAGTAACGCGCGAATTGGAATATCTCACTCACTCTCTCTCTCTCTCTCTCTCTCTCTCTCTTGATATTGAAAAAGAGAAGCAGAAATATTTGTTGTGCTTTGATTAAAATTTATAATTTGTAATAAAAAGTATAAGCAAAAGTTTATTGTTATTTTTGTTATAATACATTCTGTTGTAATTAATTAGTTAATAGAGGATATTGGCAGCCTTTTTAATGAGCATTTTCATCACAGTTACTAAGTTTATAAGAGTTCGTAAAGTTATAAAGAGCCAATACATTCATTGAGATTAAGCTAACTACAGCAGGAGCGCGCTATATAAGTTAATACCATCAGGACGACTGAAATATAGTCAAAAAATTTTTAAACGAAATCGTATCGTCAAAAATAATATAAGAAAGTCATTGTTTATTATTATTTTCTGGATTTTGTTTTCAACCTTTCTTCCGAATATGTTTGAAAATATCAACAGATACAAGAAAATTGTTGGGAAGTACTTAATATACTATTAGGTTTCAGATTCATACCTAAAATCAACGTTTTAAAATTGTTCTGAAATTTTAAAATTCTATGAACTTGATGGTGAAATGTCAGGYTTTCTAACTGTTAACTAATAGTTTCAAAATATCATTTGAATCCTGATTTTGTTGTTTTCATTATTCACTTTCAAATACACCTGTCTTAAAGTTTATTTAGAAATACGAAAAGAATTTTTCAACTACCCAATATGTAGATGTATCGACCGATTATTGTAATCTGCACCAACACTTAAGGACGTCGTGCAGTCTTCGTCTATTTATCTTAATACAGGAGCGCAACCTCATTTTTAGCTGACCTATTTCGACACTATTTTGTGAACTTTAGATCACGGAAGATACTAATATTATTGGTCTTCGATACCAGGTACAAAGTTACTGGCAACACCCAGTGCCGGACACCAGGTTTGCGCTATTTCCACCCACCTTGTGTGAAATCGTTCTTTGCTTGTGCGATATAAATCTATAGTTTTTAGGGGCAATCCTTAGCCCGACAATACAATATAGATAATTTAGCCTTATAAGATTATTTCTTGATTAACGTGTGCGTAGATTCTTGTAGTTTACGAGTTCCATAAAAATTAGCTTGCAATTAATATACTTTTCGAAATTCAGCGCTGTCTGATTTTTTAATATTTAAACAAATGGGTTTCTAGGACAGAATAAACAAAAAACTTTAACAAAAATCATTTGATAGTCTTTATATATTCGGCTTCAAACACAAAAACTTCAAAAACTTCGTGCCATTGCAKCGCACCCTATTTCCCTCTGCAGTGYTACGAATTGGATTAGTTAGATTTATATCTCAATAMTAAAATTAGTCTATAATTTTAGCATGTTCCAGCATGTTCAGATCTTAACAGCACCTTTTACAACATTGCGAAAATCCTATAAATGAGACGCAACCAATGATAAAATTGAACAATAGTTCTGAAATCACAGATAGGTGTCTCCGCACGTCTAAATCGCATATGTTGCAGAATGAAGTTTTACGTGGGCATCCTTATAACCGTTTCTTGCATTTGGATAAAACTTTTGGTGGTAAATTAAAAGTAATTGTATGTGGTTAATAAAACGTCAGTCATAAAATCTCCAAAACTGTTTCAGGCTGAACAAACTTACGTGGTGACAAATGAGCTTTTCGAGCATTACGATGGTCTGACGAAGACTTTATTTTATGCGGATAACATGAAAATTATCGGTCGTCAACGTAACATAAATGGCACTATGAGATTTTTGGAAGACATGAGCGACGAACAATTTATGCTTAGTGTAGAAATGTTCTCCGCTCAACATGGCGATGATCGGTTRAAACCGTTACCCAGTGTGCCGCGTATACGTATTTGCGAGGGTCTCAAAACCTATTTCAGGAAAGTAGTGCAACCGTCTTTTGTACATGGTGAGAATACCGATTTTCCTTACATACCTGAAGAGGGTYTRTGTCCCCTGCCGAAAGGTGAATATTATTTTAAAAATTTAATATTGAACACCGACCCGTGGCCCACTCAGGTACCAAGGGGCATTTTAAAAACAAAAATGACTTTTTTCAAAAACGGAGTTAATGTTGGAGCATGGTCACTGCAAATGAAATTGGAAGATCGTGAGTGAAGCTTTAAGTTTGGAGAAAAAATGTAAAAAAGACAGATTTGATTCATATACAATTTATTTTGGAAAAAAAAACTTTTAATAAAGCAACACGAGCATAGAAATATTTGAATTGTGTTTTTCATGTACATACAGTTATCTTCAGATTGTGATGGTTGGTTGAGAATGCCTACAAATAATCGTTGACAAAGTTGGCTCTGACATTTTTAGGCGCAATATTTTGCCTGACATAACCTGACAAAACTCACACAGTCGACCAAGCCTTGAGAGATTAATCTTCGATCATTGAAACCTGTGGAGTTCCTTAGTATAAAAGTTGCTCTTATAGGAATTTGTCATGAACAGGTTCCCAAAACTTGGCTTTCCCAAAATATAGGATTCGCTAAAAATAATTGAATATTCAAAAGAAGAGTTACTAAGTCGGTATAAACAAAAAACTTTCAACTTTGAATAGATCTGTTCTTAGCGTTTAGGCTCCGGCCTCGGAAACAGAAATCTTCGCACCCTATATCCGGCTACAGTGTTATGAATTTAGATTTACTTCTCTTAATGAAAATGGTATATAATTTTAGTATGTTCCAACTTGTTCAGGTGTTATCTGAGATATTTGCAACATTTCAAAAATCCTATAAATGACACGCAACCAATGACAGACTCCAGCAATAGTACTGAAATAAGAGACATACAGAYAGARTATTCGCAATACGTTGGARAATGAAGTTTTACGTGGGCATCACTATAACGGTATTTTTTGTGTGCACGAGATTTGCGGAGGTAAATGAAAAGTAATTGGAAATGTGTAAAAAGGAACACTCATAAAATATCCGAAACTATTTTAGGCAGAGCAAAGTTACACGGTGATAAGTGAGCGTTTCGAGCATTACGATGGTGTGCAGGAGACTCTATTTTATGCCAATAACGCTAGAGTTATCGGTCGTCAACGTACTTTGAATGGCACCTTGAAGTTTTTGGTAGATATGGACAACGAACATTTTATGATGAGTGTAGAAATTTTCCATTCTCAACCAGTGTCCCCTGCCGAAAGGTGAATATCTGTCTCTTATACACATCTAGATGTGTATAAGAGACAGGTGTAGAAATTTTCCATTCTCAACCAGGTGATGATAATTATAAGCTTATACCCATAGGCATCACGCGTATGCCCCTTTGCGACGGTTTCAAAACCTATTTCGCCAAAGTAGCGGAACCGTCTTTTGTACATGGTGAGAACACCGATTTTCCTTACATACCTGAAGAGGGTTTGTGTCCCTTACCGAAAGGTGAATATTACTTCAAGAATTTGACTTTAAAGATCGACACATGGCCCACTCATATACCAAAGGGCAATATAAAAGCGAAAATGACATTTTTCAAGGATGCGGTCAATATTGGAGCAGGGGCACTGATAATGAAAGTGAAAGATCGTGAATGAAGCTTTATGGTTTCTAAAAAGTAATGTAAAAAAGACAGAATTTGTTTGTTAACAACATGGTTATGGAAAAAGAAACAAAAAAAAAAAAAAATAAATAAATAATACGAACAAAGATATTTTTAAACTTTTTGGTATTTTCATATTTTTTATGTTCGGTTTAAAGTTGGTTTGTTGAAATATGTAAGGTTGTCAAATATTTTCTTTCCGCTTTTTTGCTCTTTATTCAATTCTTTATAAAAAAGTTTCACAGTGATGGGATGTAGTTCAAATATGCGCCGTTTCGTTCGATAATCTGTTTCCATCTAGACGACAACTTCGTAATACCGCCTCTTAAAAGCCCTCCTCCTTATTTGCGAAGAACTCGGATTTTTACTTTTTACAAGTCTCTTTTGAGTTCAGCTTTACACCAACAAAAGCATTTGCCATGGACAGGAACAAGTGGTAATCACTTGGCACTCTATCCGGGATATATGATGGATGTGATAAAATTTCCCTTCCGAGATCCCGTAGCTGCTGACGAGTCATCAACGATGTGTGCGGTCTGGCGTTGTCCTGGTGGAACACTACACTCATCCTGTTGGCCAATTTTGGACGCTTATGGTCGATCGCCTGCTTCAAGCGGTTCATTTGTTAGCAGTAGGTGATAGAATTAAGCGTCTGGCCATATGGGAGCAGCTCAATGTGGATGATTCGTTTTCAATTCCACCAAACACACAGCAAAACCTTCCTGGCTGTCAATATCGGCTTGGCCACTGTTTGGGGCGATTCACTGGCCTTCCACCATGACCGCTTGATATTGTCGTATGTGATCCATTTTTCGTCGCCAGTCACCATCTGCTTCAAAAATGTTTCGACTTCGTTCCGTTTCAGTAGCATATAGCAGGCGTTGATTCAGTCCAAAAGGTTTTTTTGCGTCAAATCATGCGGCACCCAAACATCAAGCTTTTTTGTATATCCAGCCTTCTGCAGATGGTTTCAAATGGTTTGGTGACTAACTTCCATTTTCCGGGCGATGTCACGAGATGCCACATGCTGGTCTAACRTGATGTTTTCCATGATTTGATCGGTATTCGTCGTCACAGGTCTTCCGAYGGCTGGCTTATCCATAATGTCGTTTTCACMCGCTCTGAATCATCRAAACCATTCGTCCGCAGTTCGAAGTGATAGAATACCATCCCSCAAAACAACATTAATCTSRCRGAACGWTTTGCTAGCGGATTTGYYTTTAACGAATGTTTACGAGTATATAACTATTGGAYGCAATATCCAAACTAATCATGCATAGTGTCGTTTTGTAGGTTACTTCAAGGCCTTTCAAAGATGTATAGCATTGCCAGATAAGGGAGATATTTTCCAATCCGAGTATACCTATTTTATTGGTCCTCGATGTCAGGTRCAAAACCACTCCCAACACACAAGACCTGCGTTGTCTTCAACCGTTTAGTGTAAAKTCATAAATCATAAATCGCCAGACAATGTTGTGTAGACAACTAATGCTTATAAGATTAATTCTTGATGACTAAGGATTGCCTGAGTCCCTTATTTCCTTGTCTTTTTCAAAATCCAGCGTTCACTAATTTTTTAATTTTTAAACAAATGGGTTTCGAGGTCAAAATATACAAAGAACTCTAACAAAAAATCGATTTACATCTTCTGCTTCGAACGCAGATCCCTTTGTCCGCTGTAGCGCACCCTATATCCGGCTTCAGTGTTATGCATTTAGATTTATATCTCAAAAATTAAAACATTCTATAAATKTTTCATGTTTCACCATGTTCAGATCTTATCCGCGCTTTTTACAACAGTGCGAAATCCTATAAATGAGACGCAACCAATGATAAAATTGAACAATAGTTCTGAAATCACAGATAGGTGTCTCCGCCCGTCTAAATCGCATATGTTGCAAAATGAAGTTTTACGTGGGCATCCTTATAACGGTATCTTGTGTGTGCAAGAGATTTGCGGTGTTAAATGAAAAGTAATTGTTTAGGAATAAAAAGGAACACTCATTAAATATTTAAAACTATCTTAAGCTGAACATTATGTATTAATGTTGGAGCATAGTCACTGCAGATGAAAGTGGAAGATCGTGAGTGAAGCTTTTTGGGTGTGAAAAGAAATGTAAAAAAAGAGAGAATTTGATTTATTTACAATTTATTAAAGAAAACAATAGGATGATAGAAATATTTGAAATTGTGTGCTTTTGTTGGTTGGTTGGTTGAGAAAGCCCACACATAATCGTTAACAAATTTTACTCTATAATGTTGAGCTGCACTATTTAGCCTGACATAACCTAACAAGCTCAACCAGCCGATGAAGCCTTGACAGAAGAATTTCTTTCGTAGAGGTTCGTATAGTATAATAGTAGCGTTTAAGGAGCTTGTTATGAACAGTTAACCAAAATTTTAATTTTTCAAATTATTGAATATGTTATGAAAATGCTTCAATATCTCAAAAAAAAAAATTAAAAATAAAATAAAATAAAAAAAATCCTAATTCGTAATAAACAAAAAAAGTTGAAAAGATSTGTTGTTAGTACTGATGCTTCCGGCTTCGAACACAGAAAACTTCGCACCCTATAACTAGCTTCAATGTTATGCATTTAGATTTACATCTTTTAATTAAAACGATATATAATTTAGTATGTCCAACTTGTTCAGGTRTTATCTCAGATATTTGCAACATTTCGAAAATCCTATAAATGACACACAACCAATGACAGACTCTAGCAATAGTACTAAAATARCAGACATATAGGAGTATTTGCACGACTAAATCGCATACGTTGCAGTATGAAGTTATACGTGGGCATCATTATAACGGTATTTTTTGTGTGCAAGAGATTTGTGGAGGTAAACGAAAAGTAATTGGATATGCATAAAARCGAACACTCATAAAATATCCGAAATTATTTTAGGCTGAGCAAAGTTATACGGTGAAAAATGAGCGTTTCGAGCATTACGATGGTGTGCAGGAGACTCTATTGTTTGCAGATAATATGAAAGTTATTGGTCGTCAACGTACTCTGAATGGCACCTTGAAGTTTTTGGTAGATATGGACAACGAACACTTTATGATGAGTGTAGAAACTTTCCATTCTCAACCAGGTGATGATAATTATAAGCTTWTACCCATAGGCATCMCGMGTATGCCCYTTTGCGACGGTYTCAAARSCTATTTCGCYAAAGTAGCGCAACCGTCTTTTGTACATGGYGAGAAYACCGATTTTCCTTACATACCTGAAGAGGGTTTGTGTCCCCTGCCGAAAGGTGAATATTACTTCAAGAATTTGACTTTAAAGACCGATCTAGATGTGTATAAGAGACAGTGGCCCACTCAGTTACCAAAGGGCAATATAAAAGTGAAATTGACTATTTTCAAGGATGGAGACAATATTGGAGCAGGGGCAGTAATAATGAAAGTGGAAGATCTTGAATGAAGCGGTATGGTTTTGAAAAGTTATGTAAAAAGGACAGAACTTATGTAGTTCTGGGAAAAAAACTTAAAAAAAAAAATACGAACAAAGAAATAATTAAACTTTTTGGTTTTTTAGTTAATTTGTTGAAATYGAATGTTTGAGCATTAATAAGCATAATCGCTGGCAATTTTCCAATTTACGTCCGATTCATATAAACTAGAACTTAAAACTAGAATTAAGCCTGGCTTCAGTAGTTTTCAAATAGCAAATAGAGTAGAATAGTTTAACAAAACTTTTTTTCGTATTTGATGTTTGCACTTCAGACTGGATAGAATTACATTGACACTTCAAAGAGGGTATGAATTTAATACTGGATCTTCTATCATTTTTCAGTTGTTATACCAGTAGGTCTATATCGGTCTCTTTATTCGAAGAGAATTACTATTGCTTCTTGTCTTCTTGCATTTGAGCGTGTTGAAAATTATTGGACGTAAATATTGGGCAGTGATCGGTCTGCCGTCAGCTTCCTAGCTACTGCTGCCTTGCTTTTGCCCCCTGTAAAATGCTTCATGAGTCTAGTTGAAGTTCCTTTGCTAGTGCAGGCGTTTCCACCCATATGAAGGTTCTACCCACATCGGTCGGCGGGGGATTTCCATCGGCTTCCCCCATGCTATTTCTTGTAAAGATTTCTATTGAGATATCTGTGTTGCAACATTACGCCAGCGACGGTTTCGTCGTCCCAAGAGCAGCATACCCATCCGGGATAGATTGAGGTATCGGTTTCGAGATACCCATCCCTTCACCACCCTTCGTAACTTTCASTTAACRTTTSTCTTATTATTKTTGGTGTCAATGCAAATAGGGTMYCCACTCAGAGCYGCTATCCGTCGYCCGGAAGCGTAGTCGCCTGTAGTAGTTCCAAGGTTGTCTCAGTAAAAAGGCCCAGGCTCGCCTTTTTAAGGCTATATGTTCAGAACTGTGCAGTGCAAAGAAGGATTGATCTCTACTTACGTCTTCCACGCCAACTTAATAACGAGGGTGGATMGTACTCTGAGGCCTGCCAGGGTTTTAACGGAACAGGTCCGATTGCGACATGATTGGCTGATGGATCCATTTCTGATGAGTGACACCCCATCATACKCAGGTGTCAGAATGCCGTAAACATCAGCCAAGGATTCTGCCAAAATCCGAAAGAGCTAATCCTACTCATAATTCGGTTTCACAGATAAAGTCGTAGAGATTTGAAAGGCACATGACGCATCTTGAGACCCAGCATTCATTAGYGGACAACATTCGACGGTCASCACGCAGTGAAGAAAATGTAACAGTGTCCACGAAGACCGTGGAGAGGCGTTTCGGCACCGTTCGCAACAACTCGGCAGGACTYAGGGTRCCTRCAGAGTGAACGCTGAAAGTCGAGCCGAGCGCAGATGCGCGTGTTGCCTAAATGCGCATTGTTTCGCTTTCAATGTCAACTTTGCGGACACCATAAGTCTTTCCACTTCGGCTCCTCGCCTATAAAACAGTTCGGGGCGGTTTGGGTGATAAAAGTCTTCGCGCGTGAATCAGAGCTTTGGGCAACACCTGACATGCTGCATCAACACTGATTTTTATGAAATAAACCAACAAATGATCATTCAACTGGCTAATGCAACCCTTAGTTAACAAGTAGAGAATTGATATATTAAAGTATGATGAGAATAGAAAAGAACTCTGTGAAATTGATAATTTTGCAGTGACAGCGCTTATATAAACACGCATAAGTAGAGTAYGCAGAATATGAAAATATTTATACAAATCAATAACACGATATATGTGTAGTTACAATAACTTGCATGCCAATAATGTCSCCAACCACTCAAATCGCTGAGCTCTGTCACTTCAGCCGCTTAGGAAATGATTTTTAGCGAATTGCTTGTCAAAGTGGAGTGAAGTGACGCTGAACCTATTGTTAGCGCTTCAATGAGCAGGCAAGTGTATATAGATGAGCTTACGCACATACTACACACACACACACGCACTTACATTTCTATGGCACTAAATAAATACACAGTATTGGCATTTTAATACATACAAATTCATTTACTTAGGTGCCAGCTGCCAGAGCTTCTAAGCAAATAGTGGCGTGTGTAAGTGCAATGTGGAAGCTTTCATGTGTATCACGAAAGCAGCTTTCTACTTACATATGTCGTGTATGTTTTATATACATACATACTTGTATATAGTTAAATAAACCCACATAGCTATATATATTTCTTTGAACTCTATTTTCTGCCAGGAAGCCATTCTTCCTGGCATACTGCTCGTAGCGCTAAGCAAATAATTTACACATATAGCTACACATATGTGTTAGTATTTGCTTGTGTAAGCTGGCAAGTCTGTTTGCACTTCAGCTTTTGCTATTGTTTGCATCAACGAGTGATTTGCTCGTAATCGTCAGGCCAACTAAAACGTTGACACACTTASGTAGCCAAACACAAGTGCATAACTGTACATACGACTCTATGTGCAGAGAAATATATAAACGAATATAGAACACGCTATATTTTCTTAAAGAGAGAGAGGGAAACATTAAAGCTACTAGTGCACATATTCTTCACAAAACTGCAACAATTTGCTGCAAAAATCGATTTCTAAGTGAATTTAATAAATGGAGACTCTAGCAACATTATTTAAGACTTAAGTACTCTGAATACTCGGAAATYCTCACTCACTTTGACTTCTTACCGGATCAYTTGRATGATGGAGTCRCTAAACCGAACTCTAGCGGCTCCTTCTATAACCATATACCGGCGAGAAGTTGTGGGTGGGTAGAAGCTGTTGGAGGAGAGGGACATTGAGCTTCTTCACGGATAGGTTAAAGGCTGGTGGAGGGGTCTATCATAGGAAGCTTTCTATCAACACTAGACTTCCCCACTATTGCAGCGTTTTGCTAGTTTATAGTTCGAACACATGAGTTCCTCTTTTCTATGGTATCACAAAAAGCTCCAGTCCACTTGCGATCTTTGATCAGCCACCTAACCTAACCTACATTGTTGATCTTAGTTAGTCTTCGGCATTCGTTATGACAAAATCTATGCGCATTCTTTTGAAAAATCCGACTATTATTGCCAGTTGTCCAGCAGCTAAAAATTAATTTTCCTTTTGGCGGTTCAACCAACTTKTTTTTTAGAAATTATTTGTTTTGAGTACCTGATGTGATGCCTGAATGTATCAAGCTAAAATATTATAAAGAGCTGGAGTATTGGATTACAGTGAGAAGCTCGAAATTAAGCTCAGTTTTTGCCTTCTTCATTATTATTACTATTCGGTAGAAGATCGTATTATGAATACGGGAGAAAGGGTGGTTAATGAATTAACTTAACTCGCTACTTCTAAGTTATCTATAACAATTTTTCCAATGCTCTGAGAACCCTTCGATATCGTTCTAAATTAGGTTATCACGATATTTGGCATGGATTCACGTTAAAAGAAGGTAACTTTGTAATCTCCGCAGAAGAAGACCACTGTAGTGTATACATATGTAGCTGCCGATGTGCCATTTGGATGCACTACAGTCGAATCTCTTTCTGTTCAAACCATTTGGTGATCTCAATGAAAATAAATTTGATGCTATGCTTTTTGTGGACAGCCATTCAAAGTTTGGTGCTTGATGTGTTTGAAGAAGTCGGCTTCTAGTTTGTATTAGAGCTGTTTCTTTAATCCCTTCTGGCTTGCATATGGGGCAAATATTGTTATAGGACAAACWCATTTTTAGAGCGTATTTAGTGTTATAGTATTATAGTATCTGTAAGTAATAAGTCCTTGGTTCTAGTCGCATCATACTCAAGCTATAACTGCTTCGTTATCATGTTGCTCTGAGCTATTTGTTCAGAGTGTGTAGAAAACCGTCGTTTTATCATGGTCTTAATGCCGCTTCGGATTTATCTAAAGAGGCTCCTAATTTGACCAGCTTTTCTTCGTTTTGGGTACCGAAATTGTTAAAAATATTAAAGCTTCGGCAACCGCAGTTTTTTCTTTTTTTTCTTTAACTCCAGCACTATTTGCAGGGTTTCCACCATATAATTGACCTGCATTTAAATAACCAATTCTTTATTAATAACTTGCTTTAGAATCCATTTTAAAGTCAAGCTTCCATGCCGCAACTAAATAAAAATTCCCACATGTTTGCATTAGTTACAACTCATTTCATAGCCAATATTGCTCTTACTCTGGCATTCTCTGGCGGTGATGACATGATTAATGTACGAGAAGATTTACGATTATTGTTGTCCATTAACGAATACATTAAAACGRCTCAATTAAGTTGAATTGATTGTGTAGTGATACGCATATCCACACACACACACATACACAACCCAAATGCACCTACACAGCCTCTCACTAAGAGAATTAACGTCTAGTTAGTTGAAAGTGGAAAATGCTGCCGTGCCACTGTCAAAATGATGACAAATCACGTAAATATACATACACACACAGCCATACACAGTTATATACCGCTACATTTATTACACTAAAAACTTGCATTGTACGGCCTACAAAGAGACGAATTAATAAAAACGAAGTATTGGCGCATTTAATTACGAATTCGTCAGCAACATTTTACTAGCGACGGCTTGACATTGGCACGAGCATCTTGTGCTTTTATTATTATTTGCTCTATCAAATTGGTGAGCATTAAAATGTCAATAAACAAATGGAATTCTTTCTGCAGCCTTTGTAGGGGCATATAACGATGGAAAAAAAAAAATGCGGCTTTTAATTTTTTATTAGTTCGGTTGCCACAYTTTAGTTGCGCTGGTAGCCCAAGAACAGCTGGTGGCATGCGGTGGCTTTGTGTACGCCGGTGTGTTATCAATTTCGGGTTTTTCGTTTCCTGCTTTTACAAGCGGACATTAAAAGTATGTAAGATAAGTCGGTATACTTTTAATTATCTCTTAAGTGGCAAGTGCTTGAGTGCCAAGCAAGTTGTCGTAAAATTATGTATACATAAGTACATATATGGGTGTGTGTGAATAATG